CCATGATGTCGAGTGCCTTACCCTTGTATCTTTCTTACTGTATAATACTTGCAAACACAAAGCAAAACGAAAGTATTAGTAATAAGCTCTCTCTCTCTCTCTACCCCTTTTCTTTGTTTTCACTCATTCCCCAAATTCATGCCATAATTTTAGGATCCCTTTGCAGTAACACCAACCTCACTTCCTTTGCTCACTCATTCACTGGTTTTATGCTCCACGTCCTTCATTCTTCCTTCCAGTTTCATTTGTTGAACTTGTAACTTTGATAAACACTGGTCAAAGCTTTATCATTGGACCATTCAGGTATGTTCTTTGCATCTCGTTTTATTTCAAGAATGTTAAAGAAATCCCTTTGTTTAGATTGCCTATTCCAGTTTCTTTTTTGGTTTTTGGAAGTTCATTGATTTTTCTGTTAGTTTGTTAGTTCTTGGTTAAAGATTTAAAGATTTATGAGTGGATAATGTTTCAACTGTTAGAGTAAGTGTTAGTTTAAAGATGTTGATGACGTTGGTTGTTTCTTGACCAGAACACATGCTTTCTTGATAATGCATGCCATTTGCATAAAGTAGATGAAGATTCAGGTCATGCCATAAATTCCCATCTTGATTTTTTTTTTTTTGAGTTTAATGGACGATAATCTTGGCAATCGTATGGCTATGCTAATTGGATAATTGTATCTGTGTGGTTAAAATCGGATCTTGGCATAACTTTCCCATCTTGGTTGCTGAGAAATTGAAGAAGAAAATAAGGAACGAAGAATTGGATATTGCTTTTCATTGATGTGCTCTGATCTTCAGGAGAGTTTGTTGGATGAGGTTATTGTTTCACGGATCCCAATCTGTGAAACAATAACCTCTCTCTCTCTCTCTCTCTCTCTCAATATATATATATATATATATATATATATATATATATATATATAAATAGGGATCTGTGAAGCATTCATATGGCAATGGATAATATAAATGTCTTCACGTTCCGTTTTCCTACTTTACTTAAGGGAACAATTAATGCTCTTGCTCTTCAAGTGTTGTTATATGATGACATGCTCTTTTGGAACGTGCACATATCATTTTCTATTTCCTTTTTTGCGGCTCTCGATTTCTATCATGCCATGTATAAGTTGAAATTGCGCTTAATTATGAGTTACTATGGTGTATGCTATTTATTAAGATGCTTGGATTGTTCTTCTAACTGTTAATCAGTTTATTTTCAGATTCATTTTGAAGAGCTGGGATATAGGGGGATTTGCCATGGTTGCGCCTATGGTTCTTTCTCATCGGCATTCACATTTTCTTGATTGGTAAACTTCCGTCAAAGAGTGAGTTGATAGAAGTTGTTTGGTTCTGGGAAGCAATGGCGGAACGGAAATTGAATTTAAATGCACCGCTCCTATCAGTGAGGCGATTTTCTAACATAACAACAACTTCTGATGGAGCAAAAACTAAGAAACTTGAGAATTCCCTGCTCAATAGACGCCATGCTCTTCCTCCATACAAACCAGACACAAGTTTGGATCAAGTGACTGAACCTGTTGCAGTTCCTTTCCACTGGGAACAGATCCCTGGTAGAGCAAAGGATAATTCTATGGAGCCACCTAAAGTTGCTGAGGAGGCTTCTGTTACTCCGAAGGTTCCTCCTAGAAGATCGTTGGATATTGTAAGGCACCATAAGGGAAAGCGTGAGCCTAAAGTCCCCAAGGAGGCTTCTGTTAAGCCACTTATTTCTTCCAGAAGGGCATTGGATGTCGTAAAGCACCAGAAGGAAAAGCCAGAGCCTAAAGTCCCCAAGCAGGCTTCTGTTACTCAAAGGAATCCTCCAAGAAAGGTGTTGGATCTTGCAAAGCACCAGAAGGAAAAGAAATCCAACGATCAAAGTTTGTCTAGGCCCAAAGCTGAAGCAAATTCTTTCAACAAGAACGTAAGAAAGTTAGATTACTCTAGAGAGGGACCAAATGAGAAATCAGGTTTGAATTCAGATGATGATGATGTTTACTCTGATGCACTTGACACTTTGTCCCCAACAGATTCAATCTCCATGAACTGTAGTGCAAGTGGTGTGAGTGGCTTTGATGTTCAGGTTGTGAAGCCATCAGGAACCTTTTCCAAGGATCAACAAACACGAGATTTCATGATGAATCGCTTCTTACCTGCGGCCAAGGCAATGGCTTTGGAGCCAGCTCATTATGCTTCAAGAAAGCAACCTGTGGTAGGTGAACAATTAAGACAAATTACGAAGGTGGTTCGTGGGAATAGGACACCTCCTCCTAGTAAATCTCAGTCAATAATTATCTCAAATTATGGCCAGGATATTGAAGAGAAAGAAAGTGAAGATGAATATGATGGGTATGAAGGTTCTGGGAATATATCAACTAAGGCTTGTGGTTGGTTTCCTCGCTTATGCTTTAAGAATTCATTGGGTCTCCTAAATCCCATTCCTGGATTGAAACTTAGGAATCAGGCTTCCATGTCTTCTACCAATGATGTTGAAAAACTGAGCAGAGCTTCTCCGAACAGATCTGTTAGTCAAATCGTGAAAAAGGTTAGAATAGAACTCATTTTTTCTTTCCCTTTAATTATTTCTCCTTCGGTCAGTGCCGAATGCTTCTGTTATAATTAGTGGAAGTTGCCTTTCAATTCTAAAATCACTTACAATTTTGCGATGCTTTTCAGCACTTAAAAGATGCTGCTAATAAGCTAAAGCAAGATAGCGGAGGGCAATCACCTAGGCTGCCGGAGTTTGAGAACAAGCTGTCCTGTGCATCTAATCGGTTCATCTATGCAAGTGATCGGCAAACAATGAGTCGGACATCTCCTTTAAGGCGCTCAGCTGGTACATCTCCTTTCAGACGCTCAGGGTGCGTATCTCCTTATCGCAATGAAGCGCCTCAATCTCCCTTCCGTGGCAGGGGATTTCTAGGCATTCCTAAAGAGGCTGAGGATTTGAGAGCCAGTAGGTTGAATTTGTACAAAGGCATTAGCAAGTCTCAGGAACTATCATCCTACTATGGTGCTAAACGAGGGTCCCGCCCAGCAAGCCCTGTTGTTGAGAAGACACTGTATGTAGATACTGTACACAAGGCAGGAATACTGTTCCCAGATTCACGTTCTTCAAATATCAAGAAATATGTGGACTCCGAAAAAGGGGACTTTAAGAGACCCTTGAAAAGCAGAGAAATGAAAGAAGCAGCTGGTGAAGAGTCTTCTTTCCAAGATGCAGAATTCCTGAATTTTCTGAAAGCAGAGAGTGAACTGGAAAATAAAGTCCCCGGGTCTGCGGATGCTGATTCAGCTTCTCTTTCAGACAAACCAGAGTTGATGGAGGACTATTCTAAAGCTTTAGTGTGTATAAGTGCAACAACTGAAGAAAACGTAAATATTGATGGTGATCAGATTTCAAAAGAAGATGATACAGGAAATGTGAAAAACAGTTTAGTGCAGTCTCCTCATGCCCCAATTCTACCGAAATCACCGTCGGAATCTTGGCTTTGGCGAACCCTGCCTTCATTCTCGTCACAAAATTCACTTTCACATCTGCATCGGGGAACCAGTTTTCAGAGCAAATGGCAGGACACTAATACGCCCTCTACTAATACCAAATGGGAAACCATTGTTAAATCATCCTATTTGCATCACGATCATGTACGCTATTCTGAGGTAATGCCGTTACTCTCAATCTTCTTCGTTTTTCTTCCAGTTTCATTTTAAGTTATAGAAGAATTTTTACGTTAGTATTCATTTGCAGGAATTAATCCCTCACGCTTCTAAACACTCCAAAAGTTAGAGATGCAGAGCTCTTTCCAAATTCTTAACAGCAATTGTTTTGTTTGGATATTTTGCCCTCGGATATGAACAAAGGCAATTTAAATCTTCCAGTCTACATTTTTTTTGTGAGATCATGCTCTGATTATTCAATCCTCCTATAGTAGGTAGATGGAATTCAGCAGTCAGATTTGTTGAAATTTCCAAGTTTTCTGAACCCTCCCTGTGATGTGCCGTCTCGCATTCATACAGGGGTGAGGTGATTGGCCAATAAGCCATTATATTCCTTGTATTGGTGGTTTACAGTTTAAGCGACTGTTTTGCTTTTATTTTCGGATTCCGTTGATCCCTGTGTTTATAGAAATCAGTAATTCATTATGGTGATGAATGAAATTACACTTTTGATTGTGATAATGTCTATTCTAAAGAAGCCTTGTATATTCATTGTGAACAAGTTCTGTTGGCATTGCAAGCTATTCCGGAAGGCCCTAAAATTGATTGTTCTGCCATCCAAGCATTGGTGGTATGGTGCTGCTATTGTTTCTCTACATCTGCATGTACATACATGTTATTCAGTACTGCTCTTAGATTCCCTTCTTTCACGCCTGTAATCTTTCAGTCCAGTTCATCAAAGAATTCTGAACAAGAGAGCCCCTGTCTTGCTTTACCATTTTAAGGGGACAATTGGGGTTAGAAAACATTACGATGTATTTGCCATGTCATGATCTTTAGCATTTTTGGAACTAGATCCAGAAATAAGAAATGGAGATATAGAGAGGTCCCAATCCCCATAGTTACCATATTTAGCAGCAGCACAATTATACAGAAACCAGAGTGGATAATACCATAGAAAGACCTGATTCAGACAACTTGTTGTCAATACCGTTGAGCTGGCTTCATTTTCGAGAATATTTTTTTTAAGATGTTTTTTTACTTTAAAATATATTAAAATATTTTTTTAAATATACTAATATTAAAATTATAAAAAAAATACTAAAAATTTTATTTTAATATATTTTCAAATAAAAAATTATTTTAAAAAATATTTTGTATTACAATCTCAAAGATACTATTTGTTTCGTCCTTTTTCATTTAACATGTTGTTAATAAATGAGGTTGAATGACATGTCTTCCATATCACTTATGGCACTGAGATGTCATTCTTTGCTATTTGCAGAAGCAAGCAGTATCGAATTTCTGTTGAGACATTGTGAAAACACTTTGATAGACAATAACTCATCACTCACAAACACACTGCCCTTTTTGTTCAGAAAAAGGGGGGGAAAGTTATACATTAGCGTTTGCTTTCATCCAAAACTGAATCAATTACCACCTGCACACTGATAACAAGAAGAACGTACATTCTAAGAAAATAAACAAAGAAGAAAAGACTACTAATGCTTAAGTGACTCCAGGGACAAGTACTTAAAAAAATCTGTACTAATCCTATATATGATTTTCTCTACATAGTCAGATATTCTTAAGTACTAAGCCTTGCTAAAAATATTGTATATATAGACTAAGTTTCTATAAAAATTTCACTGTCTTCATGGCCATCAAGAAAGTGAAAGCTTGGTGCTAATTTCCTGTGTGCTTCTACAGTGAGTCTTGCGGTCTTTGATTCCAACTCTTTGGCTCAGTCTCAGTTGCAGATCAGGCAGCCATTCCTTGTCCTTCAACATTTTATCATGATTCAGCTGCATGCGAATCAAGGGAGAAATAGAAAAGAAAAGAAATGAGAGGGAGGGAGATCACAAAATAAAAGGATTGCGAAATAAGGTGTTGAAGTATGGCTATGGCATGCCCTACATAATAACTCTAAATTCCAAATGTTAATTACCTCAACCCGAAATGGGGGCTCAAACTCTGGTTTAAAGCTATTGAAATTGCCAATGGAGAGTGACGAATTGAATAAGGATTGCTTTATCTTTATGTCATTTCCAGAGTTGCCTTCATTTGGCTTCCAGTAGCAGGTTGTCTCGAACGACCTTGGCGACGAACTATTTTGATGTGCTTGAGGTGGAGAGCAACTATTAGTACAGGTGACGCTGGTGGGATTATTTCTGATAATTTTCCATCTATTTTTAACCATTTCGAGTGGAGGCCACCGACGATCTTCTAGAAATCTGACAGGTCTCATTGGCCTTATTTCGGTGGTACTTGTGTCTAATCCTTGTCCGAGATCCTTTCTTGCCAAACTACTTACTCCATGCTTATCAGCTTCCCATTGCTGGCACCTATAATATTGACCAGAAAGAAAGATCAAAATGGAATTAGAGATGTGAAGAATTCTTACTCTCGAGCTTAATGGGATAGGAAACTCGTGATCAATTTTCTAGCTTTTCTTATCCCAATTTGATCGCTTCTTTGGATCAATGTTTCAAGCTTGTTTCTCTTCAAAACAAAAGGTATCCTCTTCCTTGTAAAACTTTATATGGAAAAAAAAAAGTGTTTAGTATAACAAGTATTTCACAATGCATATTGATTGTTTACCTTGAGAAACTGGTTTTATTACTTAATGGTCTCTGGAAGAGGGAAGAGTGCAAAAGGCTGTTGCCAAAAGTATGCTCAGTAGAATTTCTGGCTAAAACAATCCCACCACTCTCCATTCTGAAGCATTGTTGAGGATTGACTGGCATTTGGTGGAACTTGCTTTGAATGCAACCTCTTCCTTGCATTGATCTGTATGTTTGGCATAGCACTGTATAACAAAAGCAAGGGTTTACCATTTCATTTATGCTTGGCTTTAATAATTACAAAATTATTTCATTTTCATATTCTTTCCCCCATGAAACCAGAAGAGAAGGCGGGGCAGCCATTCATGTCAAGGCTGCTGAAATGCCTTGACTTGTTATTTGGGATTGCAGAATACATGAAGGTTAGAATGGCTGGAGAAATTACTTAACAAGAGACACGAGTACACGAGTTTTTATCACAAATGTACATCTAATTATGGAACATATGTGATTAAGTAAATTTATCCATTATTCAGCTAGAAAAACAAAGATGATACTGATTATTTTTAACAAGATATTAAAAACTTGTGACCATGTAACATATCAGTTCCCTTGTAATGGCCAACACTGGCCAGGGATAACTTCTCTCTACTCAGGTTCATTATCATTGGCAATACTAGGCACAAATTAATAATAATGGAAAAAATAAAAAAAAGTAAGCTTCACCTTGGCCGGCCTCGTCAAGCTTCTTACTTCGGTACATCTTACATGCACAATGAGAAAAGAGTAAGTTAGGAAAACAGAAGAAAAGGTGAATCAGAAATCACAAGTAAACATGGTTAACCACTGATTTTAGCGAGTACCTGTAAATGACTCTTTACATGAGCAATGCTAAGTCCCCTCACATTCATTAACTGAAGAACTAACTTGGGAGTTGCTTCTTCGCCAATTCAAAGAAGGTGCAAGTAAGTTATAAAATGAAATGATTGTTTTTTTTAATTAAAATAGTATGATCCAATTATAAATTTATATCAATTTCAACAAACTTCATTTTTAACTTACTCTCTTGTCCACCGAGCCTTTCAACGGCATGCACAAAAGAGAGATGGAGATCAGGAGTCCATCGTAGCCGAGGCATTCTTGATCTAACGTATTGCCTTACTGTGGACTTACGTTCATTTCTCCCTGCAGACGTAGCATTATTAGCATAATTCTCTTCTGTTCTCTTCTCAGCATCAGAATTGCTAACTTCAACAGTGCCGATGTCCTCTCCGCTGCTTGCTTCTTCATTCAAATCGAAGGATGACATCAAAGGCGTGTTATCAGCTTGGTCCTCACATCCACCCATCTTTTCTTGATCACCGATCTTTAATTCTTCTTCCATTGCTACTTGTTTTCCTTCAATGACTTCAAATACTGAGTTTCTATATATCTGAGGCTTCTGTTCTGTTAAAAGAAAGGGAAGCTATTAATCGCAAGCTTATAAATAAAGGCATGCATTTTTAATTTCCTTAAGACTCAAAAAACTGGTATGATAGCACAAGTAGCTGCATTGCTGTTACTTTGTTTTTATTTTTTTCTATTTTTTTTATTATTATTATTTTATTTTTATTTTTTAAACATTTAGGCCCCATGTAGTCTTTGGTTACACGAAGAGGGATACTCTCCTCAGCTCTGAAATCCCATCCCAACCTTCTTAAGGGTTTGAATCTGAAACCTCCAACTAGAAAAACCTAAGCCTTGAGTACTTTGGGGATGTCCTTTTTGGCAGCACGCATTGAAGTAGTTTAGAACACAGTAATTGACAGTACCGAGGTATTGATCGACGAAAACTTTTTAAGCTAATGTTGGGCAAGTAGCTGTAAAAATTATAGCACATCGCACAAAATCTGTTAGGATATATATTGTTTTAAACATTTCATATAAGATGCAATATCGAACCCGTATAAATGGAAGTAGTTTTACATTAAAGGTTTTGTTTAAGCATGGTACTTCAATTTTGTTCCACAAAAATTTTGTGACGTATAGCCTCGTACACTGTCGGATCAAACCTCGATCAGTGAATTGCATTAGGTAAGAAAAAAAAATGTGCACCAAATGATCGTAGTAGGTAGACTACCAGTTTTCGATTTATGATGACCTAGATGCTTCATGGCTGTAAATCCATGGAACGGGCACTCGTAAGCAACAATATAGTGGACAATATGGCTATAAGCAACTCCAAATGCTGGAAATTACTCATCTAAGATCTGGACAGTCAATTTCATGGTATCAAAGGTTTTTTCGTGGTGGTTTGATCTTATTTAATGCGGACAACGCACGTAATTTTTTAGTGAATGACCAGAACACAGCTTTTCTCACAATAAGAACTGATCAAGTAAAGGAATTGAATGACAAATTACTTTTTCTCCAGGCCCCAAATTAAGCTGGAATACAACTAAGAAATATGGCCAAAAGACGGTGTCATTTTACGTCAAGATCACTATTTTTTTCCTCCCTTTTTGGTTCCATTTTATTTAGAGATCACTTACATGGCTATTTCAATGCTTTTGAAACACGAGGTGTTCCCAAGCGACCCTTTTTCTGTTCATGATCTCCTATCTGCGTTCTGCGAAATGCAAAATTAAGAAAAAAGAAGTTATGTTAGGACTTATGTTAAACACTCAAACTTACATGGCTATGCAGCACAGACAATTAAAAAGGCATGAAAACAAATTAGTTAAAAGTACTTTTGAAATGACAAAAATTACTTGATTTTCTTTCATGAATTTGCAAAATGATCAAATGGTATACAGTTCCACTATGATCTAACAACATATGGGCTCTTATAAATAGAGTGCTAAACCATCAATCAACATGAAATTATCAAACCGCATAGCTGTTTTCCAATCATTTCTAGTAAGTAGATGGTTTAGCAACTAAATATGAAGTTAAACATGCAGCAAGCAAGAGATGAAGAAGTCATGATTTTACTTAGGTCATGAAGTCTCCCAAAATTAAACCAAAAGGAAAAAAAAAATAAAGGGCCATGAAGAAATCATAAGGGATAAAAAAAATTGGCATCCATAAAATATATTTCATTTAATTTAAACTGGATAAAGGGTGAAGAAAACTGGCAAACAAATCATCTTTTTGTCCATCACTTAAAAGAAAAAAAACCTTCCTTATCTCTTTTCCAAGAGTCTTGGAAAACATTTATAACTGTATGAAGAATAAAAAAGAAAGTAAGAACAAACCCAAGCTAGCTAGCTGATTCACTCAATACATAACTAAAACCATAAGACCAAGAGTACAATTAGTTGTTCATATATATAAGTTGATTTCCTAAACCCTAAATACTAAATACAAACCAGTTGGTTTTGATGATGATGATGCCTTGATCATGCATATCCAAGTTGTTGGTGGGATTGTCTATAGCTTCAGATCATTAGACATGTATATCGCCAGACTAATGATCCTGGCATGCCTCTTCCGAACTTGAAAATTGACGTAGACTTAGTTCTTCAGAGAGAGGAAGGAGGAGAAAGAAAGAGGAGAGAGGCAGTGTTTTCTGTGTTGGGTTTTTGGTGTGTGATAGTGTTTTTTATTGTTATTATTATTATTATTATTATTACTGTTATTGTATCAAAGGGAAACCATGGAATCAAAGTCATCAAAGCTCACCAGATATTCTAAGACTAACATGTGGTTAATTAATAAGTATAAATACAAATCAACGATTTTTAGGACAGCCCAGCTTGTGCTCTTTAAAATGGCATTATGGATACAGATGCGACTGTTGGAGAGCATCATGTGACTCAAAAAAACCCTTTCTTTCTTTCTTCTTTGACAGTTGTCCCTCCAAAATCCCTCTCGTGATTATCTTATTTCTTCTTTGACCTATGTTACAGGCTTCTCTCTTTCTTAATAACTTTATAAAAAATAAAAATAAAAAGAATATTGGTTTCAAAGTTTTACTATTAACATTAATATAAAACTATTCTTCATAAATTTAATTTTTTAAGTTAAAATATATTTTTAATGTGACGTTAAAGTATTGTTAATTAAGTGCTAACGAGTTATTGTAAAAAAATGAAATATATATATATATATATATAAATGTGGGACCTTTCATTTCATCGACCCATCAATTTTCTTCCCACCTAAACAGAGACTAGTAGTTTTTTTTTTAACTCCATGAACAACACTGTTCCTCCTGTCCCTATGTTCTTATTGTTAATTAGTGTCTACAGCTTTCTTCTGCAAAGCATGTGGCTCTATGACTTTGATTTAATTATTGGTCCGACCCAAAAATAATTGATCGGTCGTTGAAGAAATACTACCAGCTGAATGCGTTAGTCAATTTTGGTAGGACTTTTGCATTCTAACAAATCTATCCTCAACAAGTTCATTGTTTTTTTACAAATGGGAGAATCGTTGTGTTTCCATAACATTTGACAAATGAAATTTGCTGAACGTGCTGAGATCATGATGTCGATGTCGACCTCTTTTTTGGAGAGAAAAATGCATACGTGAATTTAAGTTTTCCATGAGTACAGTGGTTTGAAAATACGAACTGCATGATCCCATAAAGTATTCTTATACTTGATAGGTGTGTTCGTTTTCTATATGAACAAGACAACAGCAACGTTTTTCTAATCAGCTCCTGAATGGAACTTTAATTTGGAGGAAAATTAAGCTTTATAAGCTTATAATATACAGCAACCACTATGGTCCAAAGACAAATGATTTTGGCATAGATCCGTCCATTCGGAGGAAGAGCCTGCACAACGATCGGCAAAGAAAAGGCAAGAACGTATATAATTCCCATATATTGTTCCTTGCTGTTAAGATTGCTGAATCTCAGGAATGAGAAGCTTAAAATTGTCACCACAAGCTGCAATGTCAACGTTTATCTTTAGCCGAGAAGCTAGATTAAGACCTACGGGTTAGCAAGAACTGAATATAATTAGAAGGTCAAAACAGATCCACAGACAACAAGTAAACATTTTGTCATGGTAAAACAAATAGTCTAAACTAATTACATTACTTCGAGCTCAGTGTAGAGTAACAAGGATTGCATACTCTTATTGTCCCTAATTATTTTGAATTGTTATTTTTTATTTTTTTTTCCCCTTTTTCTGAGGGCAGTTGAATTTCGAAATCCGTGTGATAAGCAAGCAGCAGAGATCACAACTTCAAAAGGTAAGCAAAACTTTAAAAGTAGACTTTAGAAAAAGGTTGAAGAGTTTCTTCTAACATGAACGAAAAGAAAGTTTCTGTTGTTTTGCTTCACGAAACATTAAGAAAAAACAATCTTAAAAGTTATATTTCATAAGTCAATATATATTTCAATTATTATTTTTCTCCTACTTATTTTTCTTCTACTTATTTATATTATTCTCTAACATATTTCTTTAAGTAAAAGCTCTTTATTCTTGAAATTTAAACAGATTCATATTACTTTGTACTTAATTTTTATCATATAAATTAAGATAGTTAGGTTTAAACTTGTAACCGTTTCGCCTTTAAAGTTCTGATATCATGTCAAAGAATCAATTCAATCAATAACTTAAGCTGTTAAGTGAAGTCTCAAGATATGATTTATATTATTTTCTAACAAATTTTATAAAAAAAATAAAAATCTTTCAGTATGTGTGTGTATAATCTTGCTAAAGAAAAAAGAAAAAAAGTCAATAGTTTTTTTCGAAATTTATCAAGTGATATGGAATTTTTATTTTCAAATTATACTCTCTTATTAATATTCCCAAAATATTAAATTAATAAAAGTAGCTCGACAAAACATACGTAGTTGGGCAAAAAATAGAGATGATGAGGTGGGGGGTGGGGGTGGAAGCATACGCAGAGACAGCTTGGTCTCCCATCTACATAACTATATATTTCATAAATATATAATTTTCAAACTGCACTCCATTCTTTATCCCTTCCCCCGACCATCCAAAGGGTTTACTTTTCAAAGCTAATCGGCAAGAGTTTGGACTGTTTTGTCTCCTTATGACAAAGAGCTTCTTCTCTTCAAACTTACTATATTACTAGGGGGGGAGGGGGGGGGGGTGTGTGGGGGAGTCACTTGAAGGATTAGGTATGGCAAGAAGACACCCAAATCTGGCTCGTTATGAGTGACGGGTGCATGTATTTTCGTCGCCGTGGAGATGGAGAAAGAGAAGACAGATATTCTAAGCATTGAACTAAGTTCATGATCTGAGAAATTTACGGGGGGAGAGATGGAAAGGGAGCATGATAAGTAACTCTTAGACCTCTTTACGTATGTACCTAGAAAATTCGCGATACCCTGTCTTGTCGCGTGCATGGGGAGTTGACAATTTATTGATATTCTAGACCCTTTGAGAATCTTTCAAAGAATTGCTGCTTTGCACTTCAGATTTATTTCATTTCACAGACAAAGACACCCAACTAGCATATGACCACATAATATGGACCGTAAGAAAAATTATTACTAAATGTTTTCGAGTGGGAAATGGGAATTTAAGAAAGGCATGTGAAGGGGAAACATATATATATATATATATAATTGTAACTTTCTACCTCTTTTTTTATTCAATCATCGTCAAGTTTTATTTTTCTCCCAGTTCTTAGTGCTTTTTAGGATCCTGATATCAATTCCCATTGGATCGTTGGCTCTTTGGGGTTTGGAATCTATCATTGACCATACTGATGATGATGCATGAGCAGTGGACCGGCTTTGCCAAAGCGGATGCATGAGCAGTGGACCGGCTTGCCAAGAAAACCTCCGTTTCTGAACAAAGGTGCCTGTTAGTTATACTTCAATATATATATATATATATATAGAGAGAGAGAGAGAGACAGTATTTAAAATAACAACCATTGACCTATTTATCTTTATGTTTTAAAATTATTTATTTAACCTATTTATCTTTATGTTTTAAAATTATTTTTAAAAAAAATTGAATTTTTTATTTTAAATTAATATTTTTTTATGTTTTCATATTTTAATATGCTGATATAAAAAATAATTTTAAAAATATAAAATATTATTTTTATATATTTTTAAATAAAAAATATTTTAAAAAATAATCATAATCATAATAATTTACTTAAGTTAGATGTGCTGCTGCTGCTGGCGGTCATCGTACAGGCATGGGAAAAGGGCAAGCCCAAAAAATAGTGAAATGCTAGACTTAGATACTTGGAAACCTGCCCGATCGAGGAGGAGCATTTCTGTTCCAGAAGTGTAGATCAATGAGGTATTGGCAAAAGATCCTGTTACCTTTCATTTAGACAGAGATCTGACACTCGAAACCCGAGTGAGTAGCCCATGTTTTCAATGCTGAAAGGGGCCTAGCGACATGGAAAGAGTTAGGGTTTTTCGGGGTGGTGGGTGGGTTTCACTTTTATGTAGTTTTTTGGATGTAGAAGGGGAAGGGGCATTTCATTGTTCATATTCCACATTAAAGTGGGCATTGAAAAGTGTTGGTTTCAGTCATCTGAATGCTGGAAAGCTAATTAACGCCTACCCATTTTTATATGACTAAGTTATTGAAGAACAGCGATGTTGCTCATCAGGACGGACACCGTCAGGTGGCACAGAAACAAATATATAAATAAAGGAAATGAACCTCCCACGTTTGGAGATAGCTGATTCCTCAGGTGGAAAATGGTTCCAGGCTGTCCAAGTGTCTAGGTTTGGAGATAGCAGCAGCCTGCTGGGCACTGAGATCAATAGGATTTTGTCCATGGTTACTCGCAACGGTAGTTTATTGCCAATTCTCTGCTCTGTGGAGTGCACCAGTAGTCCTCGAATCTAACCAGATAAAAGGAGTTCATGTAATAAACATTAAACAGCCCTCCAATCAGCAGCAAAGTAGCAGTGGAAGCTCATAATCATCGTAATCTACTCCCCCCACCATGAGCTATATCTGAGCTGGTACCAGGAGCATATTCAATAAACCATTAAATACAGAATTATCACAGAAACTATGGCACCAAAGTTTCCACAAACATTGCAATAATCTAGCAAGCACAGACCTTGCAGTAAAAGTTACATGCCAGAGAAGATACCAGCTTAAGAAAAATACTCTTCGAGCAACTCATTTATTGCAAAAATGGCCAATCAATATAAGGGGAAAAGGAACACATTCTCTTTTTTTTTTCTTTTTTTTTTTTCCAATTGCCATTTATCACCGACTCCAATACATAAAATATGTACAGCAAATACCCTGACAATGCCAACAAGTGATTATTACTGCCTGCCCATGTTAGTTGACAACTAACTTCTTCAGCAACTAACTTTTTCAGCAATAAATTCCTTAGTTCTTCATTTGTTCATCTAATCTGATTGATAGTATTGTACATCCTGTCCAAAAAATATAACAAAAAACCTTTTAACGTCTAATAGTAGGGCCTTTGTACAGCCCCCTCCATACCACGAAGTTTTCTGGAGGTTGAGTTTCTTCCAACCATGTGATTTCAGAGGGTTCGATGCCACACAATGCTTCAGTTCCTTCTGCAAAGGGAGAATTGAAAAATCAGAAGAGAGAGAGAGAGAGAGAGAGAGAGAGAGAAGAGAGAAGTAGAAGTGCTTAAAAATTTAAATTGGAGATATAAGAGAAAAGAAGAGTAGAGAAAATAATATTTATACCTGGCAGTTCTCGTTTTGGTTTTGGGGTCCGTCGGAAATATGAGCAGTGTCGCCCATCT